CATGAAAAAGCCGCCTCTCCTGTACACCAGCTCCTGGTGCAACAGTCCCCTCCCAAGTCTGGGCTGCTGAGGGAAGGGAGCATGGCTGAAATCTGGGCAACTTTGTCACCCCCATCTGACCTGATCCCTGAAAATGTGCCAGCTCTATGGTCCCTGGAAGACACTTAGGCCAGAGGGCTGCAAAGTGGGGGACCTGTTAGGCTGCCTGCTGTGACAAACAGAAATGGAAGTCAATTGTCAACTTTTAAAATTGGAGTGATTTTACATATAGACCTCAATTTCTGGTTTCCCATTGACACCCACAGGCCATAATTCCCATGTGGCAGTCATTGTCTGGAGCAGCTAGGGCACCCTTGTTGGCAGCTGGCAGGGGATCTCCAGGTTTCCCTAGGCTCGGCCTGGCGGCTTTGTTCATTTCTGTTACCTGCTAGGTGTTTGTTGAGTTTTCCATCCACCCGTTTACTGTCCTTAGTGGAAAGGCACATTTTCTTTCCTTTATTCCTCACCACATTCCTTGTGAAGTAGGTATTCCAATTTGCAATTGGAGAAACCGAGACTCAGAGAATCAAGACATTTGCCTATCACACAGGACTAGGTAAGATCCAGGTGTTTTGACTAGAACAGTGGTTGGCAAACTGCGGCTCGAGAGCCACATGCGGCTCTTTGGCCCCTTGAGTGTGGCTCTTCCACAAAATACCATGTGCGGGCGCACATGTACAGTGCGATTGAAACTTCGTGGCCCATGCGCAGAAGTCAGTATTTTGTGGAAGAGCCACACTCAAGGGGCCAAAGAGCCGTAGTTTGCTGACCACTGCAGTTTGCCGACCACTGGACTAGAGGGATTGGCTTTGTTTACATCATAGCTGCCTTTCCCAGTATCTCACTCCTGAGATTTTTTTAAAGAGAGATTAAGATCATATTTATTCTTCCAACAGATATTAAGTTCTAGGTGTCAGGCTGACTATGTCCCTGACGTTATTTGTCATCAATTAGATGCTGTCTTTTCCATAAGAAAAGGTTATTCACAGTCTGACATTAGGTCTCTGCTGGTCTGAGATTCTGTTCCTCAGCCAGCTTTGGATAACTGATGGGCATGTCACCTCTGTGTCCCGGCGTTGGAGCAGTGCCTGGCACATAGTAGGTATGTTTAACACCGCAGTGTTGAAAGAATTCTGCTGTGTCTGGCTGTGGTCTCCTGGAAGGAAGCCTGAAGATACCTGAGGCTTTGTCTTTCAATATGGAGAAGTTACAATTGCAAATGAAAGGACCCATTAAAGCTATTAGTAATGCTTACACCTTCCTGAGAAAGGAGCTCTGGCTCCCCAGGTACCAGGTGGGAGATGGAGACTTAAGTACTTATGAATTCATTTCCCATATCTAATTAATCAAAAGAGAAACTGCCAATCAAAACTCCTGTTCACAGTAAGAAAATTTTACCACTAAGTTGATAGAATTCCAGCCCAAAGCAAAGAAACAAATCCCCAATCAACTTGTATGACCTCCTCCCAATAAGTGGACTATCAGGGTAAAACTTTTTTAAACATTAGGAATAACCTGTGGGTATCTTTGAAGTTTCCTACAGGGATGGAGTCCCTAGTTTGGACCCTTTGGCCTAGAGGTGGATGCTGGTGAATTCTAGCCTGAACTTTGCTTTGGACTAGTGTTTGGCGTACCTCAGTGGAGTCCAGTGGGAAATTGCTAGAACCTGGGCCAGCTGTGGAACAGGAGATACCAGTGGGCATAGGGGTCTTGAAGAGCAGGGGGTTCAGGCTCCTGGAGCAGCTTAGCTGCTCACGTTTCTTGAATAGGTTTCATTGATGTCAAGGCTCTTTCATCCCCAACATTTTATGCTTGTCCAACAAGATCTGGTCTCTTGGCTTCAAGTGTCAAGTGTTTGGCTACAAAGTGGTGAGTTTAAAAAACAAACAAAACAACAAAAACCACAAGAACTCACTTATCTGTTGGTTTACATAGAATTTTCCATTTTTTTAGATTGGACCTAAAGTCACTTCTTAACCCATTGTACCAAATACCAGCTGTGTGATCTTGGAACAGTAATTCAAGTTCTCTCAGCCTCAGTTTCCATTATTCTAAAGACTACATCAGGGAAGACCGCTAGGTTTCACCTTACAAATCGACACTAATCAGTTGGTCATGCCTATCTGCAGAGCACTGTGTTGAAAAGGATTCTGAGGCCACGTCTTGGTTTATTAGGACAAAGGGGCATGACCCACTAGTAGTGTCTGCCAGTGGCACTGGGTGGGAGGAAGGCATGTCGTTCTTGGAAGAGATGAACTTTGAAGGTCCTTTCCAGCACCATCGGATCATTGAGCTTGTGTCTGCATTTTAGATTCTGCAAGCGTTTGATCTTTCTCTGGATCAGGATCATGCAAGTCTTGATAATAGCCTTGTTTTTTAACTACAGGAAGATTGTTGATCGAATTGACAGTGATGGGGACGGCTTTGTCACCACAGAGGAGCTGAAAACCTGGATCAAACGGGTGCAGAAAAGATACATCTATGATAATGTTGCTAAAGTCTGGAAGGATTATGATCGGGACAAGGACGATAAAATTTCCTGGGAGGAATATAAACAAGCCACCTATGGTTACTACCTAGGTAAGAGGTGCTGCAGGAGAGATTACACAGCTGGGGCCCACATAACAAGCTTTTTGCGGAGACTCTCTACTCCCTCATCATATCCACCCCCTTCGGGGGATGTCACAACCTCCTAAGTAGAACCTACTTGTGTAACATCCTGCTCTGCTTACTAAGAATGCACTTGGTTGCTTACTCTGTATGAGATCCTAGATGGTGAGTAGTGGCAGGGGTCCAGGGTCTAATGAAAAGTGATTTAGGTTGCCACCCTCCCTGAGCTACGATCTCAAGGGTACACTCAGAACAAAGCAGAGAGGCAGCATGTCTGCCGTACAGTTCACAGTGCTGCCGATTTCAGATAGCAAGTGGGCTGGAGCTATCGGGGAAGGCTTCTGGTAGAGGGTGGCTTGGGAGCTGGGCCTTGAAGAATGGATTTGTACTTGGAGAGAGAGTGGGGGAGGTGGGTCAGCTGGAAGGGCAAAGGTACAGCGATGCATTTAGCAATGGGCAGGGTTTGGATATGAGACACACCCGTTTGGGGAATGATGGAATGGTGTGTGCAAAGCAAAGGGTGCAGACCCGCTAGGTGTGTGGTCGACAGTGAGGGGACAGGTCTGAGAAGCACCGAAGATGCACACATTCACAGACAGATTAAGGGTGATCTTGAAAGCCAGGCAGAAGCATTTAGACAAAATGTGAGCCTCTGCCTGTTCTGGAGCAAAGAATGATATGATGAAAGCAGGGTTCAGCAAAGAGAAGTATGGTTTTAGTATGGTCAAAAGCCTGTGCTCGTAACCACTACTAGAATTCCCTTAATATATCCAGTAGGGCTGTATTCTGGGGTGGTAAGAAGGGGCAGATACGAGAGGCATTCTGAAATAAATGGTGTCAGAGAACTCGAGAGGTCAGGATCTTTAGTCCCATGTGTCCTTCTTTGGGCATGAAGTTACCAGTGATCTGGCAGGAAATGCCTTCCCTAGCAGCCCCGTTGAAACGTTTGTGTGCACATCCTGCAGGAAACCCTGCAGAGTTTCAGGATTCTTCAGATCATCACACCTTTAAAAAGATGCTGCCACGCGACGAGAGAAGGTTCAAAGCTGCAGACCTCAATGGTGACCAGACAGCCACTCGGGAGGAGTTCACCGCCTTTCTGCACCCTGAGGAGTTTGAGCATATGAAAGAAATTGTGGTTTTGGTAAGATAAAAGAAGTCCCTAGGCTGGGAGAAGACCAGAGTGCAAATGCTACACCAAGATCTTGTCTTGTCTTCCAAAGAGAGAATGTTCTTCATCTTGAGGGGAATTGGAGAAGGACCCTGAAGTGGAGTGCATTGGAATACCTGTCCACCCAGTAAATGAGTCAGGGCAGGCTAGGTGCTGTAACAAATAGCCCCCAATCATAGCCATTTATCACAATCAAAGCTTATTTCTTGCTTATACCACTTCCAGGGCAGATGGTCCCAGTCCGGTAGGTTTTCTGGGCAGTTCTCCTCTAAGAGCTATCAGGCAGCCAGGCTGCTTCCATCTTATACACCACCATCCTGTGGCCTCAAGGTCGTCCTGGTAGCTGCCAGTTGGTAGATAAGAGGAAATAAGAAGGCAGTCAGTCTACCTAACTGCTCTGACCAGGAAATGACACATCCCTTCCTTTTACATTCTTCTGGCTCCTCCTAGATGTGATGAGGCTGGGAAATAGTTTAGATATGTGCTCAAAAAGAGCAAATGGGTTTGATAAGGAAACTAGCTAGTCTCTGTCCACTTTTCTGCTTTGAGGGAACTAAAAAAAGACTCTGAAATGGAGTACATTGGGTTGTTAAACTGTACAGAAACGTAAAGGGAAAACCATGGCTGGAAAGGACGCTCCCCTTAGCTTGGGTCTTCAGAGGATGAATAGATCAGATTCTATGGGCTTTGAGGGTCAGCTATGCTTGTAAGGCCTCTGAGTGTAGCAGCTTTCCATAGTGTTTTGTGGAGTCCCAAATGTCTTTTTTTTTTTAAATATATTTTTATTGATTTCAGAGAGGAAGGGAGAGGGAGAGAGAGATAGAAACATCAATGATGAGAGAGAATCACCGATTGGCTGCCTCCTGCACACCCCTTACTGAGGATGTGCCCGCAACCAAGGGACATGCTCTTAACTGGAATCGAACCTGGGACCCTTTAGTCCACAGGCCGACGCTCTATCCACTGAGCCAAACGGTCAGGGCAGAATCCCAAATGTCTTAATATAATGTGGTTACTTGCTTCCTGGTCAGATAACCCGAGGCAAGCTGCCTCCTGCTGGGAAACAGGTGGCTGAAGCTTTTGTTTATAACCAGCTCGGGGCTATTTTAGTTATGCAGTTGGTTGTTGGGCCCACTCTTGCCTCCTGCTTCATCCTCATGACCTAAGGACTGAGCAGTGGCTCCGAGAATCATTTGTTTTTACTGCCCAACATCCACTTAGTGAGAACTGATTTGCCAGAGGGCGATGAAGATGAAGAATTAGCCATAAGTGGATTATGTGCCTTTGAGTTGCTGAGACAATGGACATTAAACTCATTGAAATACTCCCCATGGCAAAATGCCTAATCCGGAAGTCAAATATGCTAAATACAGAACATAATACACCCAAAAGTCATAGACTTTTATTTCTTAATTGCCCGCTGTTTCATATTTTTCTGACACCACCCCGTGTTCCTTGTCCAGTTAGCCCTGGAATCTATCTCTGACCATCTGGTCCAGTGGTTCTCAAGCTGGGTCCTCCCAGGTGCCCCCCCCCCCCCCCCCCATGACTTGGCTGGATGGTGGAAGTGGTTGGGCTGGCATATAACCAGAGCATCTCTGGACTTCCACGTACATTTTCATTTGAAGAGAGTTCTACTATGAAAACTGGGAGTAGGGAGGAAGGACGGAAACCACTGCATTGGTGCACAGGAGGTAAGGAGACAAGCCCGAAGTCACCAGGCGTTCTACCATAAAAGCCAGACGAACGAGGACAGTAGTCAGAACTCTAAGACTTACTGAGAGCGCAAAGCCATCTTGCATTCTGTTTTCTGTTTGCTTCCTAGGAAACTCTGGAGGACATCGACAAGAATGGGGATGGGTTTGTGGACCAGGATGAGTATATCGGTGAGTGCAGCCTGGGTCCTGCTCAGCTGTCCCCACTGGGCAACGTTCCTCCACCCACATGTACTTTCTCCAGACATCTCTGTTAGCAACCGCTACAAGTCTGTAGGTGTCGTTCTTGTGAGGGACTTGTTACACCATCCCTAGTAGTGCAGTAATGTCAGGGAGGAATTATTACACCTCATTCAGTGGAGAAGAGACCAGAGGCTGGCCCCTACCTGTAGGATGGCCAGCAGTTGTCCCCACAGCTCTCAGAGGTGCCCTTCATCACGCTGTGTAGTCTTACCTTTGCGAAATGCGATTGGAGATGCCATAGATCTACAGTGAGTGTAGAGCAGACAGTCTCAGCGGAAGCTCTGAAATCAGACTGGGTCAGCAGGGCCTACAAGCTCTAAGTAGACAAAGCTATGATCAGCAGAGCTACTTATATGCCCAGGCTATCTGCAGAAAAGCATTCCTTCTTACAGGTAAATCCTTTTGCAAAATGCATAATTGCCCCATAATATAGCTGTTTTGTTTTTGATCCTTTCATTGGGAGGGCCATACCTAGCATTTTGTTCTGAAGGGCTCCACGTGAGCAATGTCAAGAAGTGCATTTTCAGGTAACAGCACTGCCTGAATGCAACTCGAATGTAGCTGGGTTGGAACCCACCGTTGCTGGTTAGAGTCCTTCCCGGCAGCCCCAAAGCCCTCCAAGCGTAAAGGACTGGAGCAGGCAACATGGAAATTTCTATTTGATCCTCATCAGCTGCTACTTCAGTGCTTTGGCACATGGCTGCCTTCTCATGATACCTCCTCTTTTCCCAAATCTCAATAAGGCAAAGCTGGTAAATCATTCGAGGGATGGGATCGCTGTAATTCTTATACATATATTGATTAGAAGCTGTTAATTACCTTTCATTGTAAAACCAGAGCCCAAGTTGCCATCGGTCTTTGGCCTGTGGTTGTGTGACTTTGCCACCCCTTTCCCAAGAACAAGTGCCTTCAGTAATGAAGGGCAGAATTGCTTCTACTCGTTAGGAATTGATCCCAGGAACGTAACGCTGTTCTCTGTCAGTCTGTGGTGTAACAGACAGGTAGCTCTTGCCACAGTCCTTAAAGTGATCTTGGTGGCACTAATTGTGTAGAATAACAGATGCTGACAGCCCCTCGTCAGGGCAAGAGCAGAGCCTTCCTCTTGCTTGGTGCACATCTGAGGGAAGGTTCAGAGCCGCAGACGCCTTGACAGTGGGGATGGGATTAGACTAACAGAAAAGGCTGGATGATTAAAACCATGCAGCACTTTCGACTAAGGATGTGTGCTCTTCCCAGCTTTCCTGAATCTGCATTGAAACAGTGCAGCGTCAGAGGCAAAACTCCTTTAGTGGCTCTGCCTAAAACCAACATTCCATTCTTTACACTGAGCAGAGAGGCAGATGGGGGCATTGTACCTGCAAATCAAATTCTGAGCAATTTGCAGTCAGAAAGGCCTGTTGCATGGACTTGTCTAGCAAGTGACTTCTCTTCAGGAGGGAATGAGTGCAAACCCAGTGGTGATGTGTAATGGGAAAGAGCACAGTGGAATTAGAAGTCCTGGCTTCTCCACTTACTAGTTTTGTGACCCCAGGGGAGTCATGCAATCACTGTAAGCCTCAGTTTCCTCGTCTGTAAAATGGGAATACACAGCACCCATGCTTCCAGGACTGGATGGAGCTCAAGGTAGCTAATGTATGTGACAGCCATTTCTCAAAAACACTATGCAGATGTCAGGTGTGAATCTACCTTGTAGCAGAACCAAGGGTCTTACCTCTCTTTTACCTTCACTGCCTGCTCCCTGTACCACCTGACATTCCCAAGTTGTGTTTCCATTAAAGAGAAACTGCCCACAGGGTATCTCTCTTTTCTAAGATAATCTAGTAATTTAGCAAACAGTGCATAAACTTTGCCTTTTTCTCCTTTTGCCATTTTGTAAAACAGGGATCGTGATCTATCTTATAGAATTGTTATAAAAATGAAATAAAATGATATGTGAAAACCCTTTGGAAATTATGTAAACGGCAATAGGAATGAACATGGTAGATAAGCCCATGTTTCTATGCAACCTCAAGCTCATACTAGCTGTGGCCTCAGTATTTTCAACTATAAAATGGAAATTGTAACAAGACCTACTTCATAGGATTGTTGTGTATGTAAAGTACATTATAAAGTATCGACCATAGAAGGTGCTTGATGGTGGTTATGAGTTTTCACCTGTGTAATGCTAGTTTGGGTTTAGAGGGCTTTCATAGAAAGTGTCCCACTTGACCTTCATAATAACCCTGTGGTTTGTAAATTATTATCATCTCTATTTTACAGACAAGGCAATTTAAGATTCAGCCATTGAAATGGGTAACTTAATCCAGCCATTGAAATGGGTAACTTAATCCTAGTCACTGAACTGAGTCATCTTTTATCTTCTGGCTCCTAGGCTCAGTTCTTTCTATTCCACCAAGCGACTTTCATGATGGATAAATCATTGCAATATTATTCTCAAGAAACTGCTCACCAGATGTCTGGGTTAGGTCTCTAGATTGGTCATAGTCCTTCCAAAAACTCAGGCGGTCAGGTTTTCTTTGATGTACCTTCCCACCTGTCTTCCTAACCAAGATCAACCTTCCTTTCCAGCGGATATGTTTTCCCACGAGGAGAATGGCCCTGAGCCAGACTGGGTTTTGTCAGAACGGGAGCAGTTTACTGAATTCAGGGACCTGAACAAGGATGGGAAGTTGGACAAAGATGAGATTCGCCACTGGATCCTCCCCCAAGACTATGACCACGCACAGGCTGAGGCCAGACACCTGGTGTATGAGTCGGACAAAAACAGGGTATTTCACATTCTTCTGGGGTCAGTCTTTGAAGGGAGACAGTTTACATAAGATTGGTTCTGTTTGCTTTGTGATAGCATTGGCCTGGGCCCCTGTGCCTTATTGACATTTCTCATTCTTGCCATACGTCAGAGACCTGTAAACTTGACCCAATACCATGATAATCCACAGTGAGATCATTAGGTCAAGACATTCCTGGAGAGTCAGCTATGGGCCACAGACTTACATTCACTCCCATTTCCTAGAATTGCAGAATTTTGTTTGCTGTGGGCAGGGCATGGATTTAAGAGACACACCCTGCATTGCCTTAAGATAACTTTGTTCATCTATTCATTCAGTCAGCAGATATTTATCCAACATCCATGATGTGTCAGGCACAAGAAAGTCCAGCCCATTAAAACATAAGGCATCCTCAGGCAAGCTCACACTTCTAGCTCTGTGCCCAGCACTTCAATATCTATTGATACATATCCACATAAATAAGTAGGCAAGATTTATAAAGACCTGCCTTTTTCCACTTTGATCACTGCTCCAACTCTTAGGAGACAATTGTGTGGTGTGGTCCATGAAAGGGAAGTGGACTTCTTCAAGGCCCTTTTTGGGAATGCCAGCACTGCTTGTAGACAGTTGGTCGAGCTTCTGAATTCCTGGGGGACTTACCTAATATATTTTTGCACAGCATTTACAGCAGGAGGCTGTTGCAGTTTGGGGTTTCACAGTGCAGCGATGGTAGATGAAAGAGGTACTAGCAGCTTCTTAATTAATAAGGGTAGCGTTTCAAATGTTGCAAATCAGTGAACTAACATAGAGCTTCATGCTATTCAGTTACTAGAGCTTCGATAACACAGCTCTTTCCTCTCCCCGGCAGGATGAAAAGCTAACTAAAGAGGAGATATTGGAGAACTGGAACATGTTTGTTGGAAGCCAAGCTACCAATTATGGAGAAGACCTCACAAAAAATCATGATGAACTTTGATACACACTCAGCATAACATGACAGACTGTCATGGGCTTTCTTTTATTGTCTTGGATGGTTGCTACAGTTGTCTAATTTATAGCAGTTGTGTCCCTGAAACAGCAGTTTATAACCTCAGATTGGGCTTAAAATTGCTTTTCACTCAATGTTTACTGCGAAATAGTCATTTCTATTCCTTCAATAAGATATCTCTACAAACACCTTAAAATCTTTGTAAATCACAATATTTTTTGGGGTGGGGATACATTACAAAAACATGACTTTTTAGCCTTTTTCATTATATTTAAAGGGGAATAAGATTAGAAAAAGCCCTGTTACTGAGAAGTTGGGTGGGTTGGGGGAGCAGTATATGGAGTGACTGCTATGTATTTTAACTGAAATTTTTATATTTGCCACATTGAAAAATTAGGGAAAACTCTGATAAAGTTACAGTGGTGTCCTATGTGGGCTTATTTCAGAACAAGTCTAATACTTCAGATTCTTCCTTCTTGACTTTGTACTCTGAGCTGTTACTGTAAGTGGAGTATAAAACCTCTGCATTTTTCTGTATGGACCTGGTAATGTGCACAACAAATCCACATCTTTGTTTTTTGTTTTTTTTTACAATAAGAATCAATGAAGAAAGATAATGTGAAAAAGAAAGGGATTTTAGAGGTAGGGAAAAGATGAATGGCAGGCATTTGGTGAACTATAGGAAAATGGTAAACATGTTATTATACTTGAGAAGATTATCTTGACATATAAACGAGGTAGGTCTGATCTTTGAAAAAGTGAATAGAGATGTGATCCATTTCCTTGCTGATCATCGATAGGAATGAAGGAGGGAATCCCAGGGAAGCCTGCCTGGTGGGGGGCTGGAACCCAGTCCCAGTGATTCCACGACTCTTGGACCTGCCAGGGGACCACTCACACCGTGGAATTAGGACAAGGTGATGTTCCAAGCCATTGGCTGAACTGGAGGAAACAACGTTTACAGGTTGAAATGCTACCTTATAAGTAGGAAGTGAATGAAATAAAAAATCCCACTGAGGATTTTCTACTGTGTCCTGTGGTGTTTGACTTCACATGTACTGTGCCATTATTCACAGAGAATTAAATAGGATGGGTTAACATGAGTAAAATTACAAAGGGTCTGGGGGTTTTAGATCAAGTACTAAGAATGTTCAGAATATCCTTGTATTTACTGATTTAATAAATGGGTACTTCCCTCTTCCTCTATGCTAGTTAGGGAATCTGTAGGCCATTTTAACAGTAAGATCTTTCTGAGATAGGTCTCAACTGGAAGAATATCCAGATTTCTCACCAAGCCCTCTGAGTCTGGTCCCTTGCTGTCTCATCAGCATCACCTTATCACTCTCCCATTTGCTTCCTATTGCCGGCCCACTGACTTTCTGGTCCTTGAACACCAAGTTCACTCCTAGGTTGGACCCTTCACACTTGCTGTCCTCTCAGATTCACAACACCATCTCACATTCTCTGGGAACTCAAAATGGTACTTCTTCAATAGAGCCTTCCAGACTCCAACATTTATAGTATAGTCACGTGCCACTGAATAGCAGAGATATGTTCTGAGAAATGTGTTCTTAGGCACTTTTGTTGTGTGACCATAGAGTGTATACAAACATAGATGGTCTACCCTCCTACACTCCTAGGCTAACTGGTACACCATCATCGTGTGTAGGGTCCATCATTGACCGTTGTTAAGCAGTGCATGACTTTAGTACCCATTCAAATCCCTATCTCGTTTTTGTTTTATTTTTTTGATACAGATTTCCATGGATACTTGTTTCCTAGGGCTGCTGTACAAGTTACACAAAGTGAATGGCTAACAGACAACAAAAGAAGCTTATTCTCTCAGTTCTAGAGGCCAGAGTGAAATCAAGGAGGCTCTAGGGAGCATCTCTCCTTGCTTTCTTCCTCTCCTCATCCTGAGATCCTTAACTTAGTTACAGCTGCAAAGACCATGTGCCACTTAACGACAGGGATATATGTTCATATTCACAAGTTCCAGGCTAGGAGGTAGACATGTCTTGGGGACCACCATTCAGCCAACTATAACACTTGACATTATCTTGTTTGTATATTGTTCATCTTCCCCAAGTTAGAATTATGAGCTTTGAGAGAACAATCGAGTCTGGTCCGTCTAATTTACTCCTATTTCCAGGAATTTGGAATATGAGAGCCCAACCTACAATAAGTACTTCAATTATTTGCTGAAGAATGAGAGGTTGTTAGCTTTAATCAGAGAATATATGTCAGGGGAAGAAATTTTTCTGAAAAAAAATAATAAACTGAACATGTGCTGAATGAGAATATAAGTAATTTTGTCCAAGATTCCACAGTGATTAGATGGCAGGGACAAAATTCAAATCCAGATGTTCCTGTCTTCAAGATCTCTGTAATGAGAAATACTGTAATGTCACAAAGCATTATTTATATGCTTAATGGCACTGAAAGCATTAATTGCTAGGAGCCAAAATCTGTCCAAGCAAAGCATGAACACATTTTGTACCTCATGTCTCTTCTTGTAGGTGTTTAGCACTAAGTTTCACTGCTCCAAATCGCCAAATCTGACATAGGTTTTCTTTATTTCTCTGCTCTCCCACAGTACATGATTACACGGTCAGGAAATGAAAATAGCTCCTCCTACCTAGAAACAGGCTGACAACATTTTTTTTTTAAGCAGTGAAAACCTGTCTTTAAAAAAATTAGAAATTCTGTGTAACCTAATTATAAGCATAACACTTTAAAAAGGTGCTAACATTCTTTTTCCCCCAAAAGGGAATATCGGTTGATTTATTAAGTTATACACAGTAAGATGTTAAATATAGTTTGAGCACTAAGTTTTTCCTTTCAAGTCAGTGCACATAAGAAGAGAAACCTCAAAGAAACCAGGGCTTCTGGGGCTGAATTTAACACTATTTAAGGAAAGAAAGTCTTAGCTAGGGGACATAGCTGTTAACATGGTGATTTGTAAAGCCTTAGATTTCTAATAGGGTCTGACTGTTTCAAGGAAAACATATTTTGTTTCTAGGTAACATTTCAAGTCTGATTATGAACAAATGCTACAAAATCGATCTGTAATGAGAAATACTGTAATGTCACAAAGCATTATTTATATGCTTAATGGGACTGAAAGCATTAATTGCTAGGAGCCAAAATCTGTCCAAGCAAAACATGAACACATTTTGTACCTCGTGTCTCTTAATGTAGGTTTTTGAATGAATTCGAGTGTAATGAAAATGTAGTTAGAAAGTCAGCAACACCTGAAGGTTTTCTTCACCCGCTTGGATTATCATAGCTGTTTCTTGTTAGCAATGGCACGAATCATACCTGCTCAGAGGTGCCCAGCAAACAGCAGACACGTGGCTACTTGTTAGCTCGGCTCTAAAACATTGTGAAGTAGTGAATGGCTGGCTGTTTGTTTGTTTTTTTAAGTTTCTCTAGATTCATTTTGCCACCTTTCTAATAAAACCTGGCTTTTCCCTAGTACGTGCACCTAGATCAGTGATGGCGAACCTATGACACGCGTGTCAGAGGTGACACGCGAACTCATTTTTTTGGTTGATTTTTCTTTGTTAAATGGCATTTAAATATATAAAATAAATATCAAAAATATAAATCTTTGTTTTACTATGGTTGCAAATATCAAAAAATTTCTATATGTGACATGGCACCAGAGTTAAGTTAGGGTTTTTCAAAATGTTGACACGCCGAGCTCAAACGGTTCGCCATCACTGACCTAGATTTAGCTCTCTCCTTAGTCTTAAAACTGAGTTTATAGTGTTAGAATTTCCCACTAAAAACCATTAAGTGCCATCATGCTCACTGCTGTAGCTCACAAGGAAGTATTAACCTGAGAAGTGGAAAGACTGTGTCATCAGTACTTAGAGTAGTAAGATTTATATGAATTTGGAGATATATTCAGAGTCTATTGTCACTCTTAATTCTGGTCAATTCTGGGGTCCAGGGCTGGGGGATACCCACCATTCTATGAGCTGTAAATACCTCTAATTTTCCTCATCAAATAGAAAACAGTGTCTGATTCCCCACAGAAGCACATGAAATGAAATACTTTTCTTCCTTGAAACTCGTGGAGTGGGAGCACTTCTTTTCTGATAAATACAAATAGCTGTGCACCAGGCACCATGCCAAGTACTCACATACATTTCTCACATAACCTTCACAACAGGCCTATGAAGGTGGTACTTATAAGAAAGAGGGTAAGCTGGCTTGTGCTGCGGTAACAAATAACTCTACCATTTCAGTGGTTTAAAGCAGCCGAGGTTTAATTTTTGCTTTTGCCAAGTCTGCTGTGGTTCTGGGCAATTGTCCATGGGGCTCACTGTGTGTCTCCACATCCACCCATGTCCCCTGGAGAATCAAGCCAGGCCATCAAATGTAGTCATTCCTGCAAGTGACTTTAGTCCCCCATTCTCATTTCCATTGGTCAAAGCAAGCCACGTGGCTACATCTAACTTCAAGGGAGTAGGAAGTGCATCCTGCTGTTGCTCAGAGGGGTAGGGTGAAAACCTTGGTGTAACAAAAATGTTATTCCTGGTAAACAGTGGTAACTATTTTCACCATTTTACAGGTAAGAGAACTATAAAGGGAAATAATGCCCAAAGTTACACAACTCAAATTAGGTGACTATGTAATTGATTGTCCAGACCACAATATCCTTGCCAGTGAAGGGGCACAGTTTTAATCAGTACCTCCCCAAATCCGGGGCAACCTGCCTTGCCCACCTTGGCATTCAGAGACCCACTCTGAGCCTCTTCTGTCTGGAATCTCCCTCATGGGTTGAGGAGTGCGTGGGCCAATGGGTTTTGCTCACTCAAAGCCAGGGCCTTTGCCTCTAGATCACGCTCCAGGTCCCTGCAGAACCCAGAACTCCCTGCCAAAATAACCCCCAGCCTCTTCCAGAGCCTGTGTGTGCACCTCCCAGGTGGATTTTCCAAAATGCAGACAAAGCCACACCTAGGCCCAAAGGACCCCAGGGGCAGCTGGTGGACTCAGTTTGAACATGCAGGTTGGGATGTTCACACACACACACACACGCGCGCACACACACTTCACACACACACACACACACACGGAGTCCCTTGGCAGGAAGAAAAATGGTGGAATGACTCATAGACCTTTTCCACTTTTACTCTAACCTCAGGACCCACGGTAAAAGGAGTGAGCCTGCCGTCACACCGGGACAAGCAGCCCTGTCCTGGGCAAACTGAAACCAGTGGTTCCCCTATTTAGAAATGGCAGATCCAGGAGGATCCCACCCTCTTAATTACCCCACTATGTTGCCTCCAATTTAAGAACCTCTTGGTGAAACCACGGCTAGTGTTATTATAATTTTAAAAATTCATGGCAATGCATGTTGTAATTTGAAAATTCAGGACCACTGGGATGAGATGGAGAGTTGGTGGCATGGAAGGACAGGTCCAATAGCCTGGCTGGATGCAAGTTCTAGTTCTGCCTCCCCGGGGCCCTGTGACCTTGACAGGTCACCTTCCTGCAGAAGAGCCTGTTCTGACTGTAAATGGGGACACCTCTCGGAGTAGCTACAAAGATGAGGTGAGGTCATGCCCGTGCAAGAACTTCGAGAACTGAAACATGAGAAACAAATTAAAGGAGTTCTCCCTGGTAATCTTTTTGAGCAGGTCAAATGCCAGAGGTCAGATAAATCAATACGTACAAACACTAGGCTGCTGGTTAATAGTCTTTCTGAGTCCCAGAATTATTGTGTGAAGTGTTTTTAAAACCGCAAAATTGATCCATTACTAGGTGAAGTTGAATTGATTAAATGACAAGGGAATAGCATTTAGCATTGTTTTTATCTTGGAGACTGTATTCTAAAGCTGTTTATTCGTGGCAGGATTTGGAACTGAATTCAGAAAAAGCAGATCAAGAGTCTCCGAGTGTTCAAAAAACATTCAGGCATCCAACTGAAAAAGCTCACTCAGAATCATGTTTGCAGAGGAGGAAACTGGGGCCCGGAGAGATTAAACCTGAACTTTTCCTTGTCACAGGATGGAGACAGA